CGCCCCGTTCCCTTAAAGGGGAGGGGCTACCGGTGCGTCGGAGGGAAAAGAGACGCGGACCGCATCCCGAAGAACTCGACTGGGTGCGCGCGCTCACCCCCGCCTCTCTTCCCGGTAGCAGACCCTGAACTGGGTGGGCCGGCCGGCATTGCGTCAAACGAGATCCCTTTGCTGGCTTATAGAGCGGGGTCCGCCCTAGAAAAGAAAAGCTTTGAGAGGGGAGCACGTTAAATCCTCCTTCGGCCCCGGCATGGGAAAGCTTACAAGACGTGGGTGATTACGGGACTTGGGAAAGGTTTACCCCAGGCAGGGCAACATTCGCCATAAGATAAAAGCCCTTTTAATCCCCAGAGGGATTAGCACACCTTTTCACGAGGGTTTTCATCGTGCGTGATAGGGAGGACAAAAAGCGCTCCAAACGCAGGGGATGGAGGGGTAATGACTCTTTTCTCCGAAGTTTGCCTTTTCTAAAGAGAAAGAAACGCGGCAGCGTGGCACACACACTTGCACAAAGAGTACGGTATGGTGAGCTGGCGCTGTCAATCTTGCAGTATTTGTAACTATTTTTGTTGACAGGCCAGTAATCAGAAAAAGAATAACATCTGGCCTAGCTATTGCCTTCCCCCCACCCCGAATTACTGGAGCATGGGTTTCTATGACTCTTATGGTTGGAGTACAACATTCATAGAGCGGGTTACCTCATAGCATATTTTGCTGTTCGCACTCTTGATGTATGATTATCTTGCCACACCTGAAATTGAGCTAGCAAAAATGGAAGAGTAGAAAGATGGCCAACTGTAGTAGATCTAGTGAGATTGAGAGAATCATAGGAAGAGAATAATAGGAGGGACTAGGATTGTCAACTAATGCAACACTCAGTGTTTTATATATGTGTGCATGCGTATCCCTTGCAGCTATCTTAATATAACTTTTTTACTGTAGGTTTCATGCACTTTCTGCTGTAACTGGTACAAACTGAATCATAATCTAACTTCTTGCAGGAGAGAAGATGCCAGCAACCTTGAAAGAAACTTTGGAATTTTGGATCCTGAAGTTAATTTTAAGTATGCACACCTCTGTAGATGAACTGTATTTAAAGGATGTCATGGAAGGAGGAAAAGTGTTACCTGACAAGATTGAGACTGATCTGAACACAGATTTAGAAATGACAGGCTACAATAATATGGAAAATTATACTATACTTCAAAAGGAAATGACTGATGTCTTAATTAAAAAGGATATACAAATAACAAATGAAGAGTCATCTGGATATTTGGGAGGTATTTCAGATAACAAAAGAGGTTTGTTAAAGCTTTGAAATTTGTAAGTAGGAACAAAAGAAATCAAGTTCTAGGACATTATTTGACTAAATAGTAAGGTTGTTACAAAGAAATATAATTGGTTTATTTAAATCATTTATCTTGTGATGAAGCGTGCATTTTTTACATATTTTTTAAATTCCCCCTTATTTTTTCTATACTTTGGTTTATATTAAAATTTATTTTTGGAAAAAGGAGATAGCCATTCTATTCTGTATTATTCAGATTACCATCTCAAAACTGTGTAGTATTCTGGAAATCACAATTTAAGGAAAATTAAGACAAATTATAATACTTTTGTAGAAGGGAAACAAGAAAAAACAAAATATTACAAATTAAGCCATATAGGGTGGGGGTGGGGTGAAGGAATAGATATATTTAACTTTGAGGAAAGAATATTGGAGAAGGGTAGAAACACATCCGGCTTTTTAGATCCTCTAAAACAGTTTTAGCTGAAGGTGATACTGACATCTATTGTTCCAGAGAACCAGAGCATTCTCAAAGGATAGAATATACATACTTTGCCTGTCCATATTACTAAAGCACTAGCCACTATGGCAAACAGCAGCAATGTGTCATTTGGTATAAACCAGGATCTCACTTCTTTCAGGTTTCCACATTGGCCTTTTGAGTTTCGTGCCAATTTCAGTTAAAAATCCCTCTCCAGTAGTACATGTAGTAATATATCTTTGTCACATTAAACATTTGGAAGAACTTCTGAGGATCTCTTAATCATACCAAAGGTTTTCAGCAGTGCATGCCGTTAAAGACTCAGCTTGTGAAACTCTGGTAATAGTCAGTTCCATCCTGAGGACATAACTATTATTATAACAAGGATATTTCAGAATTGGATTTGAAACAAGCTTATTCTGAGAGTAGTGATGAGTTGAGTAGGTAATTCTTTCACAGAAACTCTACAATTATTTTGTTCAAATGATTTTGAGGCAGAAAATTGTGCTATTATTTGAAAAGGTGGCATCCTTTAATAAAATTTCATTAAAAAGTATCCATGCCAAAGTTTACTTATGAAAATAGTGCTAATTAGTATGGCAATATAATGATTTATAGCAGTGTTTAATTATGGACCTGAAATCAGATCATGCATGTTTACAGCCTTTCTTCTTCCATAAGATTAGAGATCTGAAAATTAGTTTTAACACATAGATTGATAGATTGAGGCTTCTGGAAAAATGTTTAATACAAAAGGAAATATTTTAAGAATATTCATAAAAAGTAACGTTGCTCATTTCTAGTAGAGGAAATGAATTTCTGATGAAATCATCCAATAAAATCAGAGGGAAAAAAAGAAATTTTCCCTCGCTTTGGTAAAATGTCTTGAGAAAGCTGGAATTCGTGAGGGGAAAAAAGGGATTTAAAGAAAGAAAAACACTGAAATCTGGATATGGCTGTATCAGCCTTCAAGCCTGAGACATAGGAATAGATATCATGAAAGTTACCAATTTCACAAATTTAAAGAGTTAAAAAAATTAAAAGAGCTACAATTAGATGCAGAATACTTTTGGGAGACTTTAAATCAAATTTGCACTTCAAATAAATTATGCAAAGAAAACAGCGCTATAAATAGATGCAAACATGTACCTTTTTTGCATCCTTGTTTTTTCCTGAGCTTCCTCAGCTTTTACCATTTATTGAGATTTGGATAGCNGGAAAAAAAATGCTTGCACAATTACATCCATGGAGACATGTATATATACACAACACACAGAGAAACAAATTTAACAAAGTGCTAAGTCTGCCCACCAACTAACACACTCTCTCTCTTTCTCTCTCTCTTAATGCTTGAGAGAGAGGGGAGAGAGGGAGAGGTCATGTGTATCCCTCCTTCCTTCAGCCCAACATTCTCGCTGGCATCCCGGCCAGACGAGAAGGACTGCAGAGGGTCTCCCTGAGTCTAGGGCAGCGAGTCATTAGATGGGAAACTTGTCTCTTGGAAAGAATGACCCTGCTTGGCTCCCGCTTTCGATCTGCCACCCAACGACCGAACGGAGAAGCAACGAGGCAGGAGAGACAAGACAGGAGAGACGAAGCGGGAGCCAAGCCGGGTCATTCCTTCCAAAGGGCAACTTTCCCATCGAATGACTTGCTGCCCTAGACTTGAGGAGACCCTCTGCAGTCCCTCTTGTCTGGTGTTGGGCTGAAGGAAAGAGGGATACACACACTTGTGCTCTCTCCCTCCCTCCTTCCCCTCTCTCAAATGGCAAATCGGAGCAGCCGCTGCTGGGAGCCCATCCTATGCCTTCTCCCAACCCCCACACCCCTTCTCTCAGCTACTTTCTGCCTTGTGGACCTAGAACTGTCTCCAGGTTCGCTCTCCTCTCCTATTATCGTGGAAGGTGTCTCACAAAAACCACTGCGCAGCAGTTGGAAACGGCTGCGTGGTATTTTGTTGGCACGTGCGCGGCCGCGCACCCGCACAGCTTAGAGGGAGCATTGATTGGGATCTCTGGAAGTTATATAACAGCAGTAACATTTTTCAATAAAAACAGAAGTAAAATTGTATACTTATTTTATTATTGTCAATATTACAGTAATAACAATTGTTATTAAAAAGATTTTTTATTGGGAAGGTGAGATAGAAATTTAATAAGTATCCAAGCAATCAGTTTATTAAGAAATTTTAGCATGAAAAGACAAGGATCTAAGAAAAAGGAACCTTTCCTTCCAATTACCCCTTCAGTTCAGGTAGCAGAACTGCTTTCAAGGGTTAAGAGTTTAAACAATTAAATATGGAGGCAGAAGGCATGGATGAAGAACACAGATGCTTATTGGTTCTGATTTTGATTTTAAAATTAGAAGATGACACAATAATCACTAACTGGAGCTATTGCCATAACTCCGGTATTTCTATGGGAGTAACATTTCAACACTAAATGCTGTAATTGTCTCATTAAAGCAAAGGTAGGAGAATTGTTTCCATTTTAATTCTTTAAACTATCCCTTCAAGTGGCATGGAGACTTGAGTAATTCTGTTCTATTCCTTTCTCTTCCTTCTCTGGTGAATTTTAATAATCAGACTGAATACTGGGTAAACAATTTTAGCTTAACGAGCCTTAAACACATTGATTGAATTTAATTTCTGTTTCTTTCCTGAAAACAAATTAATTATGTCAAAAACAAACAAACAAACAGAAGATGAATAAAGTTTCATCCCTGGTTGGTTGTTAGTCCATCCCCTATAGAAAAACTAGTATTGTTAGTTATATATCCTAATGAGAATGGCGCTTCTGCAGCCGAGATATTGACCCCCAATTGAAAAATGTATATTCTCAGTTCTGAGTGTATTCAGCTGAGAATTTTCAAGGAAGAGTTTGCTCTCCAGACAGTGATGAATTGCAATGTACGTAATGGTATCAAGTAAAATCATGCCACATGTTACTATTTATAAGGAAATGGTTAACACCCATGTCTGAACAGGAATGTTTTTTTATCAGACTGCTTTCATTTATTTAAATTCTGTCTGAGTGGAAAAATAATGTAAAACAAAAATGAAGGCTGATTTATTGGGAAAGGCAGACACTGAGTTAAAGCCTTAGTAATGAAGAAAGTATACCATGGTGAAGCGTGTTTGTGCCATTATATGATTCAAGTATTTCCACCTTTTATTTTTTAAGAAGCTACAATCTATACATAGAGGATCCATACAACTGCAGGCCATCTCACCTCAGTCTTTATTGTTTTCTTAGGAGCTTTAAGGCTCTGGGTTCGTTTGGGAACTTTGTCTCCTGTATCATCATCAGATGGTTCAGTTCTAGAATCAGACTGTGTTCCATTATGTCTCTGAGTCATAGCCATGTCCTCAGATGAAGAGTAAAAAGATGCACCTAAGGAGAAAAACAATAGTGAGACTGCTTCATAAAGGTAAAAAAGATACTCAACATATAGAGGCAAGGGGAAAAAAAGAGTATATTTATATACCAGGAATTGAATTCAAGCTCATGGGAAATATGAAATTAAATGTATTTCTGAATCCCACAACTGAAATTCCACTCCTTTATAACAAAAGAGCTGCAGTAGCTTCACAACCAATCTATTCCCTCCACTCTAGGCAGCCTTTCTTTTTCTTTAGTATTTTATAATACACTTAAATGAATAGTTACATTTAGGATATGAAAAGCCTATTCATATAGCTATGTAATCAAATTCTCCTGTTTCTACCAATTACCCTTTCCAAGTCAGGTTCATTGGTTAGATAAAGATCTAGATGGATAGAATGCAAGAATACATGCTTGTGGTTACTTTAAGCAAGGAGCTCCCGTTTTGTATCCCGCTCTCTTTTACATGCAGCTGAGGACGATGCACTTTAAAAATACAAGTGGACCAGGTGCCCTCTGATGCAGGAGATAATATTTTCTTTTTTCCAGGAAAATGCACGAGGTAAATTATCTTCTCTTTTAATACATACTCTTAAAACTTTTATACAAAGGCTCTTATATTTGCATTTAGACCAATATAAAGTCATTTATAAAGCATTAATATGTAAAAATGAGTCTCTTGCCAATTCACTTCTATAACAGGTATGGATTTTTATTTATCTGTTTTCATTTATTATATGTTGAATTATCTTTTATTTGTCGGTGTGTTGCTTTAAATTATAAATCACCTTCAATGTTTAGTTTGATCAGACCTATAAATCAATAAATTTAATAGAGACTGACTTCACTAACCTGAATCATCAATAGTTTCAAGATGTCCCTTAGAAGACGTATGCATGTGTGACTCGGGGCTTTGCAAATGCATTGTGTCATCATCTCGAATCAAAGTCAAGTCTTGCATGCTGAAACTCCGAAGTTTTTCAGACAAAACCCCCTGGCCCTTTAAAACACAACTTCTAGTTACAATTATCCACATGTACTACATCAGAATGCATTTTAAGGGGAACATTGAAAGAACATTTGATGAAAAACTAAATACAAAGGCGAGAAAATGGAACGTCAATGACAGTTTGGATAGAAAATGAAATGACTGTCTTTTCTCTAACATGAAGAAACAGCCCAAATGTCATGTAGCTAGTTGACAGTAAGGAAATGAATGCAGTGAAGGGAAACACCAAAATTACCAAGCAGAAGGGAACAAGGCAGATATTAAATAAAGATATAAGGAGTTACCTTTGCAGCTGCAGTAACTGCTGCATTTGCTGCCAGATTTAATCCTCGCTTGCCAACACGCATCATAGTTTCATAACTCTTGTCACGGGCCTGGCTAATATATTCATCTATTTCCTAGAATTTAAGTAAGTAAATGAAGTAAGACTACATTTAGGAATTAACATTATTTACCTATAAAATTCTAGCATAAGATTCTAAGCATTGTGGAGTGCACTCTATCTTTATGTTTCAGCATTGAAATAGAAGGCAAATCTTCCGATCACCTTCTATCAATAATAAAATAAATTCTCAACTGTACTAGTAAATATTTCTTGATCACAATGGGCTACAAACTATCTCTAGATAATATATATCAAGGGATAAGAAAAGGTATTTGGAGCATATAAGAAAAATGTTATATATCCCATACTAATTAACATCATTTCCTGTTTAACAATGTATAATTTTATATAGTTTGTATAATAAAACTGTATAATAATATAGTTTGTCAATGCATACCAAAATTCAGCAAGAAAGGGTCACAAAATACCTCATATTACTGATATTCTGAATAGGGATCAACATATCTGATTACATGCAAGTCTATTAGCACGAGATAAAAAAATAGCAACTGATATACCACACAAATTGGCTTATTTTTATTTTAGATTATCAGTTTGATAAAATCCCTGATAAGTACCCAATATGTATTCTAACAGTATATTAGTTACTGTTTTAGTTGGTTGGTGTTCATGGCTGTTTTTTGGATATTTGATCATTCTTAATAAAGATTTACTAAACTGTGTGGGCACTGGAATTCACTATTGACACATCAATGGTTTTAATGATGAATTTACATGAGCACTTCAAGTTAATTTAATGCTATAAAACTAAGGGCCGAGATAGACATCTCTCTCTCTCTCTCTCTTTCTCTCCCTCCCTCCCTCCCTCCCTCCCTCCCTCTCTCTCTCTTTCATATATTGTAGCAGAGTTAATAGTCAATATTTATAATCTTAAAAATATCACCCCATTTTGCTCCAGCTGAAGCTTTTGGATGCTCTTCAAGGACAGCCCCATGTAGAGCATATTATAGTAGTCCATTTGAGAGGTTGCTAGGGCATGAATAGAGTCTCCAAAATCCAGAAATGAGCGTAACTGGATGCCACTTGTGCAAANTGAAATTTTGTGAATGTTCGAATTACAGGTATTAAGTAGATTTATACACTACCCAGAGTCATTGACAGTTTGACAAAATGCAAGTTCAATAAATAAATAAATAAATAAATAAATAAATAGATAGATAGATAGATAGATAGATAGATAAATAAATAAATAAAATAAATAAATAATGATCCTATAAAGAAAGTATATACTTCATTTTGTATAGCAAAGCATGGAACAACAAAATTAGAAGCATCTATGTAAAAAAGCAGCACTACTCTTGAGACTAATTTCAATCTTTCCTACTTCTTCTTTTCCAGTTCTTTATCTATTTATCATTATTCCTGACACATATTCTTTTGCTTTAACTTCCCTATAGCAAAACAAACAAACAAACCCAGTATATTAACCTTTTCATAAATGGCTAAAAGTGGTTAGGGATGTTCAATACTGTACTTTACAGTCCAATTAAGAAACTTTCATTTAAAATAAAATTTTGTTTCTTAATTTCATAATAATTGTCAAGTGACACACCCAATGTCAAGTATTTGTGACAACCCTCCAATACTCCAGGGCTACAATAAAAAGAACCACTAAAATTGACAACAAAACTGAGCATTGTGTTTTCATCATGGGCATAAAAAAGCACTTTTAGCTTTCCATGCTTTGTGCAAATATGTTAGTGACATAGCTGTTGTTTTAATGTGCAAAATACAATGTTTAAATTGGCTGAAGCCTGCTATTCCAAAGACAGTGTACCACGATGCTTTGGAATAGCTAGTAGTTTATACCAGCTTTAACTTTTATAACATTAAAAGCAAGAAGTGATTAGCTGAAGAAGCATATGGTGACATCATCAGCTTATTGTTCGTGTGCGTGTGTGCGTTTGTGTGTTCATTATATCAGAGAAAATGCTTAAGAGCAGAACAAGCATGTGAACTCTATCCCACAGTATGTTCACATCAGATAAATAAGATCCTTTAAAAAAACCTAACATATTGACAAAAAGTGAAATCTCCGCTTCTTGCTCATTTACAAAACCTAGTTATTTTCCAGATCAGGAGACAAACGGCAAACATAGCAGAGAAAGATTAGTCCTTTTAAAATAAATATGATGGCTGCCTTGCACTTACATATTCTTTCACATTTTTCGTCTTCACAGCTTTGTAAGAAGAATAGGCAGGGTACAGGGTGCCAAAAACCAAACTGCAACCAGAGTTTTGAAAATAAAAACGAATACAAACGGGGGTGGGGTGGGGAGGAAGGAAAGAGAGAGAGAGAGAGTGTGTGTGAGGTTCCAGTTATTCGGGGTGGGCGTCAGACTCTCGCAAACCTGAGCGACGTCCAGTCCCACCCCCCCACTCACTATGTCCACCTTCGCCGGCCCACCGAGCAGGCCGAGCAACGAGGTGCTTTGCTCTCTCCCCCACCTGCTGCATCCACAATTCCCTTCCTCGTCGCCCAGGCCCGTCAGGCTGGCTCACCCGACCTCGTCTATTTCGCGGCAGTTTTTCCTCCCCAAGGGGACGAGGAAAGAGCCCCGGACACCAGGCAACGCCCCGTCTGGTTTCTCCGCCGCCAGGTTCAGGGCGAGGAGCGCTGATCTCCCCCGAAACCCCCCCCCCGGCAAGTTGCCCCGGGGGAAGAACGAAAGGGGGGGGTGTCGGCGCGCGCGCTTAAAGCCCCGGGGAGGGTAGCCCCGGTCGACCGCGCGCGAGCCCCCGGTCCCCATCTTCATCCCGTTGCCTGGCAACAGCACAGAGAGAGGGCCTCCCGCCCAGCCGCCCTCGCGCTCTTACACCACCAGCCGGGAGATGATCCAGGACACCATGGCAAAGCGAGGCCCGGACTCCTCCGGCGGCAGCAGCGGCGGCGGCGGCGACTGGGGAGCTGGCTTTCAGCACCGGCTGCAGCAGCAGCAGCAGCAGCGAAAGGAAACGGGGCGTTCTTAAAGGGCAGGTTTCTGCAGCAAGCGTAGCCCCGCCCCGTTCCCTTAAAGGGGAGGGGCTACCGGTGCGTCGGAGGGAAAAGAGACGCGGACCGCATCCCGAAGAACTCGACTGGGTGCGCGCGCTCACCCCCGCCTCTCTTCCCGGTAGCAGACCCTGAACTGGGTGGGCCGGCCGGCATTGCGTCAAACGAGATCCCTTTGCTGGCTTATAGAGCGGGGTCCGCCCTAGAAAAGAAAAGCTTTGAGAGGGGAGCACGTTAAATCCTCCTTCGGCCCCGGCATGGGAAAGCTTACAAGACGTGGGTGATTACGGGACTTGGGAAAGGTTTACCCCAGGCAGGGCAACATTCGCCATAAGATAAAAGCCCTTTTAATCCCCAGAGGGATTAGCACACCTTTTCACGAGGGTTTTCATCGTGCGTGATAGGGAGGACAAAAAGCGCTCCAAACGCAGGGGATGGAGGGGTAATGACTCTTTTCTCCGAAGTTTGCCTTTTCTAAAGAGAAAGAAACGCGGCAGCGTGGCACACACACTTGCACAAAGAGTACGGTATGGTGAGCTGGCGCTGTCAATCTTGCAGTATTTGTAACTATTTTTGTTGACAGGCCAGTAATCAGAAAAAGAATAACATCTGGCCTAGCTATTGCCTTCCCCCCACCCCGAATTACTGGAGCATGGGTTTCTATGACTCTTATGGTTGGAGTACAACATTCATAGAGCGGGTTACCTCATAGCATATTTTGCTGTTCGCACTCTTGATGTATGATTATCTTGCCACACCTGAAATTGAGCTAGCAAAAATGGAAGAGTAGAAAGATGGCCAACTGTAGTAGATCTAGTGAGATTGAGAGAATCATAGGAAGAGAATAATAGGAGGGACTAGGATTGTCAACTAATGCAACACTCAGTGTTTTATATATGTGTGCATGCGTATCCCTTGCAGCTATCTTAATATAACTTTTTTACTGTAGGTTTCATGCACTTTCTGCTGTAACTGGTACAAACTGAATCATAATCTAACTTCTTGCAGGAGAGAAGATGCCAGCAACCTTGAAAGAAACTTTGGAATTTTGGATCCTGAAGTTAATTTTAAGTATGCACACCTCTGTAGATGAACTGTATTTAAAGGATGTCATGGAAGGAGGAAAAGTGTTACCTGACAAGATTGAGACTGATCTGAACACAGATTTAGAAATGACAGGCTACAATAATATGGAAAATTATACTATACTTCAAAAGGAAATGACTGATGTCTTAATTAAAAAGGATATACAAATAACAAATGAAGAGTCATCTGGATATTTGGGAGGTATTTCAGATAACAAAAGAGGTTTGTTAAAGCTTTGAAATTTGTAAGTAGGAACAAAAGAAATCAAGTTCTAGGACATTATTTGACTAAATAGTAAGGTTGTTACAAAGAAATATAATTGGTTTATTTAAATCATTTATCTTGTGATGAAGCGTGCATTTTTTACATATTTTTTAAATTCCCCCTTATTTTTTCTATACTTTGGTTTATATTAAAATTTATTTTTGGAAAAAGGAGATAGCCATTCTATTCTGTATTATTCAGATTACCATCTCAAAACTGTGTAGTATTCTGGAAATCACAATTTAAGGAAAATTAAGACAAATTATAATACTTTTGTAGAAGGGAAACAAGAAAAAACAAAATATTACAAATTAAGCCATATAGGGTGGGGGTGGGGTGAAGGAATAGATATATTTAACTTTGAGGAAAGAATATTGGAGAAGGGTAGAAACACATCCGGCTTTTTAGATCCTCTAAAACAGTTTTAGCTGAAGGTGATACTGACATCTATTGTTCCAGAGAACCAGAGCATTCTCAAAGGATAGAATATACATACTTTGCCTGTCCATATTACTAAAGCACTAGCCACTATGGCAAACAGCAGCAATGTGTCATTTGGTATAAACCAGGATCTCACTTCTTTCAGGTTTCCACATTGGCCTTTTGAGTTTCGTGCCAATTTCAGTTAAAAATCCCTCTCCAGTAGTACATGTAGTAATATATCTTTGTCACATTAAACATTTGGAAGAACTTCTGAGGATCTCTTAATCATACCAAAGGTTTTCAGCAGTGCATGCCGTTAAAGACTCAGCTTGTGAAACTCTGGTAATAGTCAGTTCCATCCTGAGGACATAACTATTATTATAACAAGGATATTTCAGAATTGGATTTGAAACAAGCTTATTCTGAGAGTAGTGATGAGTTGAGTAGGTAATTCTTTCACAGAAACTCTACAATTATTTTGTTCAAATGATTTTGAGGCAGAAAATTGTGCTATTATTTGAAAAGGTGGCATCCTTTAATAAAATTTCATTAAAAAGTATCCATGCCAAAGTTTACTTATGAAAATAGTGCTAATTAGTATGGCAATATAATGATTTATAGCAGTGTTTAATTATGGACCTGAAATCAGATCATGCATGTTTACAGCCTTTCTTCTTCCATAAGATTAGAGATCTGAAAATTAGTTTTAACACATAGATTGATAGATTGAGGCTTCTGGAAAAATGTTTAATACAAAAGGAAATATTTTAAGAATATTCATAAAAAGTAACGTTGCTCATTTCTAGTAGAGGAAATGAATTTCTGATGAAATCATCCAATAAAATCAGAGGGAAAAAAAGAAATTTTCCCTCGCTTTGGTAAAATGTCTTGAGAAAGCTGGAATTCGTGAGGGGAAAAAAGGGATTTAAAGAAAGAAAAACACTGAAATCTGGATATGGCTGTATCAGCCTTCAAGCCTGAGACATAGGAATAGATATCATGAAAGTTACCAATTTCACAAATTTAAAGAGTTAAAAAAATTAAAAGAGCTACAATTAGATGCAGAATACTTTTGGGAGACTTTAAATCAAATTTGCACTTCAAATAAATTATGCAAAGAAAACAGCGCTATAAATAGATGCAAACATGTACCTTTTTTGCATCCTTGTTTTTTCCTGAGCTTCCTCAGCTTTTACCATTTATTGAGATTTGGATAGCGTTTTGAGTCAAGTGTGATGTGGTACAGTGGAAGTTGTCCACAGAAATACAAATAAGGCTTGAGTACCTGACTATTTCAATCAAGTTGCAGGTTTGCTTACTCCCTAAAATGGATTTCTGATTATGAGGAAGGAAAGGAAAACAATGCACCAGACTTCAGAGTTGCCTTTCTGAAAAGCACGCGTGTATGTAGCTCACAGGGATTTGAGGGATGGAAAGGGAATAGAAAGAAGAAAGTACCTATTCAAAGTTTTGGAGGTGAGGGGAGACAGACATGCTTGCTTTTCCTACTTTTATATCTCCCCATGAGCTTCCAGTATAGGTACAATATAGATCAAAGACAAGTCTACAGTAAATGACTTTTATTTTTTAAAAAATGAAATAACCGTGAACATATTAACAGGCCTGCAGGTGGCACTACAGTACAGCTGGATAGAAGGTAGATACAGTCCCAATGAACAGTAAAACAATGGAATCCATCAGTTCAATGGTGACAATTCTGAATACAACTCTATCAAGCAGGAACATTTTACTGAAAATATTTCTGGACAAAGCTGATATTGAAAATTATTTCTGGGAAGCAGTAGTCCCAATCTAAAACTGACAACTGGTATTTACCAGTTTAGGGAGAGATGTACAACACCTCCAAAGCATAAAAGTTCTTTTCCCCCCTTTATATCTTTGTATTGGAAGTAAAATTATTTTTAGCTCTCCTCGGGCCAATTGTGCTATTGGGAATTATTTCTAAGAATAATTTCTGGAAAAGTTTTATTGAAAGGAAGACTAAACACAATGTGCCTTTCCTTGTAGTCCAGGAACTGTTGTGGTATTTCAAATTCTAAAAATATCTACTTTCATGAAATACTGTTTCACTACAAACCTAGTTTTTCACTAAATACACATTTTTTTAAAAAATCCTGGAGCCCTCTGGGAAAATCAGTGGTTTCTCTCTGTGTTTCTGCATTTCTACAGTGTATAAAGAACTCTTAAAGGGAGCATGAAGAACAATTTCTTTTTTCCTTAGCTATGTCAGAGAAGGAGGTCTCATGTTCATGTTCTTGCAGCCAGGATGCTGGCGTGTATAATCATTCAGAGCAAGCTGTTTAGGTCTTCAATAAAATGTCCAACCTTGCATCATTCTTCCTAACTTACTGGAAAGACTAATTAGGTATGAAAAAAGAGTCACACATTTTTCTATTCATCATATGCAGGAATACCACCTGGTTTCCATACAATTTCAATTTGCAAAAGGCCACCAGAAAGGGACTCGGCACCCTTCGTTCTTCAGGAATTCTGTATATTATTGTGACCATCTATTAGATATTCAAGACTGAGGCAGCATATAGGCAGTGGCTGGAGAGTGTAATGAATGCCATGGCATCTCTTAGTGAGAGGTTTCAGAGTCCTTCAGAGGCAGCCACGTGCATCCCCTTTCTATACTGTGAGCAAAAAAAAAAAACCAAAACAAAACAACTCCGGGGGAGGGAGGGGGTCAGAATCATCCATTCCTAAGATCTAGCCAGTTTGGATTCATGAGCTTTCAGTGTGCCAACAGCATCTTTGACTGCATGGTAGATAATGTTCTTCACCTGCAAAGAGAATGTAATGAATGAATGTAATGAAGAATAAGACCACAAATGTGTTTCCATCTGCCCCGTTACTAATTATAAGAGTTCTTTATCAATTGCCTATAAAGTCTGAACATGTATAAGGAAAGAACAGACAGAACAGAGTCCTATAAAATATTGCTAAAACAATACACACACACAGAGAAAGAAATTGGGTTGTTCAACAGCAATACATCAATGCTAATGTAATTTTTTAAAAAGTAACTCTAAAAAATTCTTGTATTCATTCTTTATTAGAAAATTAAAGAACTGCAATCTAAATCTTTAACCCCTGGCATTACTGAATAAGATTTTGCAAATCCATTCAGCTTGCAAACATCAAACCTCTAAACAGTTTACCATTGTGTCTATGTTAAGGGAACTAAGGATGGAAAGGAGTTTCTTCCCTATAACTAATGTAAATAAATAAATATAGGATATGTGAAGATCCAAGAATATTGAATTTTTAAATCTCCAATACGCTGTGCAATATTCTCAATACTACTGTCTCCAATACTCTTAATAATCTCTGTGTAGAACCTTTAACTTTTAATCAGAGAGACTATTATGAGAAGCCAACATATTGTATAAACTGGTCTGAAATAAACCTAAAACTGATATAACTATGTCTTAGAATTCATTTAGTTAATATAGCCATAAAATACCTCCTTTTTCTACAACATTTTTAGTACAATTCATTTTTTCAAATGGTATTCCTCCCCTTACAAATATGATATACATCAGAGGTTTTACCAGAAGATTTGCAAACATTTACCTGCAGCTTATCCTCATGGTTTGTGTGAGTATTAGATAGGTGCCTGAATTCTTGAGTCAGACGGAAGCAGTGTTTCACATGTTCTGGAGATACAAAATCTTCTGCCACTTTAATGCAGCTATACAAATTATGAACCTGAATAAACAAGAAAAACAATTCGGATCGTGTACAACCCCATAATGCTAAGAATCCAACATATTCACTGCTGCATTTGGTATAAGAAATCTAAACAGACAAGTACTATATTAAAGTTGTCATGGACAATTTATGATACTCATGAAAAAAAATCTATTAAAAGAACTTATTACAATCTTGGACTTATAACCACAATTGGGACCAGAATCTCAGCTGTTGAACAAAACAATCGTTAAGCGAGATGTCATCTAGCCACTTTGCTCAATTACTGCAATCTTGTAGCTCCTGGTTGTGCTTGTTAAGCAATCTCTTGAGTTGATACTTGCCTCTCCACTCTGGGGCTAAAAATCCTCCATGGCTGAAAATCCTGCTTGGATTTCAGCATAGACCTTTTTCCACCAGCCCAGCTTGCAGCCATCGGGGAGAATTGCAAATGGTGATCACACGACTGTTAAGGTTGCCAATCACTCAGATTTCAATTACATACATGGGTACTACGATGTCCATAACTTCAGTCACAGGTCATAAAGACCCTTCCGTTCATCATCCTAACTTTGAATAGTTGCTGAATGAATGATCATAAGCCATAAGTGTATTAATTACTGGATACAGAAAGTTCACTCTTAATATTAATTGGGATCAGAATTACCATAGTTAAGCAAAGTAGTCCTTAGGCAAAACATCAAGTGATTGTGTGGTTTAGTGATGGCAGTTCCAGTAGTCCTGATTGTGCTTATTAGATGAGGACTATGCTGTCATTAGGTAATCACTTCACGCTTCTCCTGCTGTCCTGCTGCTCCTCCCCAGCAAGGCCTCATGTGCTCCCTTCAGCAGATGAGGTTCACTGCCCTCATCTCTACTTCAATTTCTCCTTCTGTCTATCTCATCCCTATCTATTTTCTGTCCTCTTCACTGTAATCTGCTGCTACCACCTTCCCTGCCACCCTTTGTTGACATTCACTGTCCTCTTGCTGCTGGCCTGTGATCCAGGTGCCAGACATGAGGGTGGTACCAGTGTGGTGAACATGGCAAGGTGGCGTGAATCTGTCTTCCAAAAAGAGCTCCCTGGGCCAAACTGGCAGAGAAAGTAAAGAGACAGCTCCCTGAATGAAGGGGTGACTATCGGGCAAGGTGGCAAGGCTTATCAAGGACTTGCATAATGTTACTAGTTGCCACCTTTGCCCAGGGAGCTGCTAACTTGCATCTCTGCCATGCCTGCTCTGCTGGCCCATCCTGCTGCCCCTTCCCTGGGCTGGCTTTACAACTCCTTTCTGCAGATGAGTTTCCACTGCGCTTGGAGTGGGCTGCACCCATGTCTAGTCTATGGATCTCAGGCCAGCAGCAGCAGAAGACAAACAAAGGTCCGCTGGAGCCATGGGGATGGCAGGGGAGGCACTGGAGGTGAATGCAGAGCAGTCAAAAGAATAGAGAACAAGGAGATAAATGTGGATAGGTTGCCAAGTGCCAAAAATTGTTCACATGTTCATGAAGGTGCTACTGGTATAACTTTTTAAAAACCCAGTCTTCTTCTGCAGAGTGGCCCAAAATTCCACTCACCTGATGTGGAGCCCCTGCAGGAATAAATACAGCATCTCCCAGGAACTGCACGATTGCCCAACCTTGCACTCCATATTCCTCGTACAGACGCTTACGAAGGACCTGGTCCAGATACCAGCTTTGGTCATGGATTGGATCATGATCAGGAGGATTTTCTTGCCCCTGTTCTTCACCAACCTAGTGCAAATGTATTGGGATTCAATTATTCTGGATCTACTGGATAGCTGAAGGATCACCTCCTACTTGCAAATTATTTCATTACTGGAATATTAGCCTTGTTTAAATAGTTCTACGGCAATGGTGGGGGGGGGGGAAGGAATCCAATTTTCACAAGTAAAATTGCTGAATATATGACCAGATGCCAGTATTAGTTTTATAAAGATACATTTAAGAGTTGGGTGAATCTCAGAAATTTAAAATAAATTATTTGGAAAAGCAAACCCTGTGGTAAATTCTCTATGTGAAATTCCTTACCTTCCGAAGAAGCTCCCTGATTTTTTCAGCATCCTTAGCAGCATAAATGTGCCACAGTGCCCCTGGCTTCTCCTTTGCTTCATGGATTCGCTGTTTTGTAACATCGTCGGCATCCCCTTCATCTATGGTTTTTAACACCTCTGAAATCCAATTCAATAACATATATAGCTTTTTTACTACAATGTGTAACAAATAAGCAATTCTGGTATAAATCATAATACTATAAGTGAGTGCCAGGAAAAATCTGTAACTGTATTTCCTTCTGATAACAGAACACCAATTACCTCACGTGCAACTTAATTGTCTTAAGAGAATGTATTTTTTATAAGCTCAAGAGCAGGCCTGGCTATCTACCCCAAGAAAAACTCACAAAGCCATTCCTGTTCAGGCAATATCTGTATGGTTAGGGCATTCTGTTCATGCGTTGCCTTCCTCAGTTAGTATTGTGAAAACACATTTTACTTTTCATAATGTTCCTCATGATGCCTGGACAGGTTATCAATGGGGGCATTGCTTAAAGACAAGTTGAAATACCTATACAAAACTAAAAATACACTCATGACTAGATAGTTGTTTGTTCCTCCCATTTGTTCACAAGTATTATAATCAGAAAGAGCAACAAAGGAACAAACAGAAATAAAAACAAATAGAAATTCAAGTTATTCCCTGGGGGAAAAAATCAGTTTGGAAGAAAGCTTACCATCATCATGGGCACCATCCCCAATAGGAATTCCAACATACACCATAACATTAACTGCATCTGATACATCTAAATGTAAATTAGTTGTACCAACTCTTCGGTCTTCTGCTGTTATTAGTCCTATGAACAATGCAACAGACAAATAATTTTATCCTACTGGTATTAGTATTTTTATCTGTATATAGCAGTCCTGACTTCCCAATTATGGAATAATAATTCCTTGTCGTTTTATAGATCATTACCCTATAGTGCTGAAGGGGCTTGTGCAACCCAAATAATGCTATGAATTAAACTATGGGGAATCTGCACTCATGCAAGAGTCACCCGGTAGCCAGGAGGTAAAACTACATGAAATGACATGTAGCTGCTGATGTGCCTGGAAGGAAATAAAAAGTTTGAAGCTGAAAACAGGCATATCACTGCAATGTGGAATGTCAGAGCCATAAACCTTGATGCAATCAGAGTTGAAATACCACGATAGAACAGATATTCTGGAAATGTGCAAAATGAAATAGATCTGGAATGAATCACTTCCCATTAGAGTGCATTCTACTGCTCACAAGAAAATCATAGAAGAAATAAAATAGCTAGCATTATTAACCAAAGACTGTCACTGCTTGAATATAATCCAAGAACAGCAGACTTCAACTAATATTAAATTAGCAAGCCAACTAACACTACACTGATCCAAATCTACACTGCAATCGTTGATGCAGAGAAAAGTGAACAATTATTTGGCCAACTTGCATTGTCTTGTCAACACCACCAAAAAAGATCTCTTATACAAGACTGGAATATTAACACTGGAAGTGAAAAAAGCTTTTGAAATAAAGGAAAAAAATGGTCCTAGAATCTTCCAACCACTATAAATGGACATCACCAGATGGCAATGCAAAAAACAAATTGATTATATACACAGCAAGCAAAGATTGATGAAAACTCTATATTTAGTCAGCAAAAACAAGATTTGCTGTTGACTGCAGGGCAAATCACAATTATTTGCAAAATTAAACTAAGAAAAACAAATAAAGCCATCAGATTAACAAGAACTCAGCAATTGTTCACATGATGATATGACAAAGGTAAAGAATACAGTTATTGAATTAACTCTGATAAATAAGAGCGCCTAGACAATTCTAGACTGAAATTTGTGATATCATTAAAGATGAAGCAAACAACAATATCCCCAAAAGCAAAAGAAAGCAAACTATCTGACATGCTAAAAAAATAACTGAAAAAAGGCAGAGCTCAGAAGTTAATATAGACAGAGGAAAATTTGCCCTACTAAAAGTTTCCAAATAACAGCAGATTGAGACAAGGAGTTGTATTTAAATAAGCAAGACAAAGAAATTGAGGCTAACAATCAAACTGAAAGGCCCAAGGAATTAAGAAAATTACAGAAATCGAGAGATCTTCCTGTGTAAAGATGATATAAAGATGACCAAAAAGATATTGTATGAATTTACATAGAAGTACACAAACAGGTCTCAAAAATGACATGTATAAATTAATGAGCATTGAACTAGAGTCAGATGTTCTGGGGAATAGATGAGTCCTGGAAAACATTGCTAAAAATAAAGTGGCAGGAGTTGGTGAAATATCAGCAGAACTGTTTAAATCTTACTAGATTCAGTTGAAGAGGTACAGTACATTTTTTGTAAGTACATACAGAAAACATAACAATAGTCACAGGACTAGGAAGCATAGATTCAAATTCCAAATATCAAAAAGAGCAATCCTAGATAATGATCAAGCTACAGAATAATTGAACATATTTCATATCTTTGGAAGATAATGCTCAAAACTCTGAAATTTAGAGTTCAATTTACTTGAGACAAGAACTACCTGATGTACAAACTAGATTCAGAAAAGCCAGGGGGATGTAAGATCATGTCACTAACATCCAATAAATAATGCAAAAGGTGATTAAGTTCTAAAAATATATCTATTTTGCTTTATTGATTTTACAAAGGCTTTTCATTATGTAGAACTTAAATGCTTATAGACCTTAAAACATGGACGTACTGGGCCATCTCACCTGTCTAATGAAAAATTTCTATGGTGAAAGGAAGCAACGTTGAAAAGGAAAATGAAGCAAATCAATAGTTCAAAATTTAGGCTTAAAAATTCCAAGAATATCCACAAAATGAAGAGATGTTTAGGACAAAAACAGATGTAGCCAAAAATTCAACTGCAGAGACGGTATACTAACCACTAAGTGTACATATTGGTTTGGTTTTCCCCATTGCAGTACATGCTGTGAAAGGCTAAATGAAGTAAAACTGGTATCACTGAAATGTGATGTTGGGAAAAATTGTTGAGTATCTTATATCTAAAAAAGAATGAAGAAAACTCTGTGGAACAATTATATTATTTATACCATATCATTTATGCTAATTATATAAATGTATGTAAATGACATGAATTATTTAATGATGTCATTGTCAAAACACCTAAACCACAGTGAAAATTTGGCAGATGAAACAGCTCTTTGGCTACGAGAAGAGATATCACAATCTAATATAGAAAATAATTGGTACACAAGCACATCATACTTCAATTTGAAAATTATGGATTCTTAACAAATTTTTAACTGGTATGCATGTTTTCACTTTTGCATTAAATTCATTTTTAATCTTAAAAAATAAATTCTAAACAAATGTGTCTATCAAATTTTGTTGCTTATTTATTCATAGTCAAATCTCACTCTAAATATTTTCACTTTTAAGACTATTAATAGGCATCAAAACACAACTTTTAAATCACACACCATATGCATTGTACATTTTGGGGCCTAGATCAGGTCGCACAAAGTAACTTGGCAACCTAGATGCCAGATTCAGTCTTCCATCTCTTTTAGTATATTCTGGAAGCGGAAGATTCTCCATTAAATCTTCAAACCTGAAATAGGCAAATACCATATTAGACACAAATATACATATAAAAAAACCAATACAATGCCCAAATAAGCCTCCTTTGTCTTCAATCATCCAACAGAAGTAACTTACCTTGTAGGCATCATATCCCTAAAATCCTCTCCTGGAGGCCAATCTTTTAACTTCAGTACCATAGGCTGCCCATCGTCTGCTCTTAGTCGTTCTGCAAAGTAGTAATTACATGCAGCTTATTCCTCAACATTTTTTAAAATTATAGAATAATATGCAAGCCCCCCTCCCCTTTTCTTTCCCCTTCTCCTCCCCATGGTGTCTTCCTATTTGTTTTTGTATTTTTGCATTTTATTCCATAATTTAATAAAATGTTGAGGAATATAGCTTATGAGTTCTGTTCTAATTTTTTTTAATGAAGTACAAGAGTGACAACTTAGATTTTCAACTGTACAGCTGAAGTAACAAATCAGAAAAAAGTTAGATTCAAAACAATTTAGCATTTATTGGTTAGTTTATATCAGGCAAGCCAAATCTTTTATAGCGCTCTTGGGAACTTGATATAATATTTTGCATGATGTACAGCGTATGATGGCAGGATATATGTTCATCAAAATGCTGCCTGATGTTGATGAAAACATTGATTGTTCTGTTTGAATAATCATAAATTAGTGTGATTATCTTTAGGCAGGAACTGTGAGAAATATAATGCGATTAAGATTTGGTATTGGACCCAATGACAAAATATTACAAAAATTGATTACATACTTATCCAAAAAATCTAATCATTGCCAGAAATTAAATCAACTTTTTCAACATCTAAAATGTAAAGAAGGATATTAACATAAAATAGGAGGTTTAGGTGGAAGAACTGATCTTCATAATATAATTAAAAATTGTGTACTATTAACAAAAATTGCTTAGGTAAACTCCATTGGTACAATAATTTGTTCTCAGCAAATATACTTAAAAAAGGCTAAACTGAGAATATCAGCACATTTTTACAACAAATATACTTAAAAAAAGGCTAAACTGAGAAAATCAGCACATTTTTACAACGTGTAGGAATTAACAAAAGAGAATAGAAGTCAGAACATGATCTTATCTATTAGACTCCACTTACTAGAAATGATTTCAAAGCCATCCCAGAAATCACGCACTTTAACATCTGAGATTATGGCACAATTTCTACAATTGACCAGATCTACATCCTGATCTCCAAATTCTTGGCTAAATGCATCTGGTTTCCAAAGTTCAGGCTTCAGTTTCTTATGAACACCAGAAACTAGAACAGGCTGCAGAAGGATAAATAAAATATATAAGGAATTATTTTAATATATAAGATTTCTTAAAAAGATAGCTGGAAATGAATAAATGTACATAATAAAAACAATCCAATAAAAGTCATTGTAACAAAGCTGGTTAAAACACACCTCACTGCAACAGAGTGAAAAAGAAAAACAATTATCATGAAGGACAGCTTTAAGTAATGATAAAACAAAAACAAAAAACAAGTTGACATTTAGCTCAGTTTATGTTTATAACTCTTTTTTGACTCAAATGAAGAGTTGTGCATATTTACAAAACTAAGCCAGTTAAGCTTTCTACGTTAAGAACCACTACTGATTCGTGTACAATTAATGAAAGTACATATTTACCTGCATAGTTTAATTAAAAAGTAATATTACTAATTTTACATGTTTTTCACTTGTTTTGAAAACTACAGTTTGAAAAGCTATGGCTTTTACATATTTTGACTGCAAGGTATCCTGAATAGTCTAATTTCTGAGTTTATTAAGCATTGTGCATATGGCATTTTCTAATTATGGTTTGATTCTAAGCAAAGACTTGACTTCTTATTATATTCTGTTCAGATTCAAATTTCTATGCCTTTACTGCGTATTTCCTAGTTAACAGTATTTTCATAGCAGTTAGTTTGCCTTAAGAATAATACATACATTTTTACAATATAAATGATGATCTGGCTTTTTAAAACTGTACCTGTCCTTGTTTCCAACATTCTCTGAAGATCTTCCAGTTGTTCTTGTTGCTGGGGTCATGAAGACATAAAAGTCTTCCATCACAAAGCCACGAATGAGAAGTATGTGGGTCGAGCACATTTAAACCCATTACCATTTCTTTTACTTCTTTAGGTGTATCAGCTACACTGCTTGCTCGCTTGGCAGCATCAGTCATTTTCTTATTTTCCACCACTGATGCAATTATATGATCAAGGAAGTTTGGCAAACTGGCTTTACTCTTGGCCCCCTAGGAAAAAAAAATCACATAACAACCTAAGTACTCTGTACCCTGCCTGGGCCTTGGATCTTTCAACCAAATAAGCACTTACAGAAAAATGAACAGCCTGCAGAAAGGAAAAACCCTAAATTCTTGGTTATGTTAATTACATTCTCTAATAGTACAAATGAATATTGTACTAATATGTTTTACTATTCTATAAAGTTAAACATATTTATCATCTATGGAGTTAAAATATAATATATCCATATTGTAAGACTGCAAGTCATGAATCTCAGTATAATGTCTTTAAAGGAATACCCAATACATTATGTTTCTGTGAGTTGAAGGGGCCAAAACCTTACTGCATTCAAGCTATGTTCTTCAAATGGGTCTGCCTGATTCAATGGGACTGGAGTATGGACAGATGTAGTGTGAAAGAATGGCAACCCTTCTAGCAGTCATATCATAGAGTTCCACCCACTTTGGTCCAATGCCTATTTCAATTAATTTTATTCTCTCATACTGTTTTATTTCATGGTATTTTCATTTGCATCTACCTTTTCTATTATCAAGTCTTCTAGTTTTAACACCTCATTCCTTTCAGTTAGACAACCACTTTTTAATCTACCTAACTCTACAGTTAGAAAAAAAAAGAAAGAAAAAGTTTTCCTTACTGTGGAAGCTCCAGAAAAAACAGGAGGGAAAGGAATCCCTGCATCAAGTGAGGTCTGAGGCAGCTTTCCAGGCCCAGAGTTAAGCAAATCACGAAGACTGGAACCTTCAGTCTTGTTGCTTGAAGCAACTGGACCCAGCAAGAGACTATTAAAAAGCTTTGGAGTTAAAGGTGAGGCTTTTGTGTTGGAGTTAAAGGAATCCAAACCAAAAGGCGATGGAGATTCTTTATTGAGTACTGATCTCAATGAACCTGCTTCTGAAAAATGCATATGGAAGAAAGAACAATTTAAAAACAGAAGTACTTTAATAGTAGTATAATACAGGTTGACTTCAATTACTCATTAAATATGCAAGAATACCATTATTTACTGGCTAGACATATGTAGAATCTAAATTGGGGTAATGGTGGAGAGGGAGGAAAGAGAGGAAAATAGATTGGGTATGCAGCAGGTTGCATGTAAGACAGGCTATACTATATCATTCAGCAAGGAAATTACTTAACATCTAGTTTTCAGGCAATCTCAGGTCTCACCAAACATAATGCAATTTTAACACATTATAATTGTTGATTAATAAGCCATTCTACGTATCAGACATATAACAGAATAACAGAATTGGAAGGGACCTTGGGGGTCCTAGTCTAACCCCCTGCTCAAGCAGGAAAACTACACAATTACAGACAAACGGTTGTCCAACCTCTTCTTAAAAACCTCTAGTGTTGGAGCATTCACAACTTCTGGAGGCAACTCATTCCAGTGTTTAATTATTCTAACTGTCAGGAAATTTCTCCTTAGTTCTAGATTGGTTCTCTTTTTGATTAATTTCCATCCATTG